ATGTTTGGGGTTGTAATGTGACAAAATATGGAAAAGTTCAAGGGGTATGAATACTTTTGCAAACCACTGTATTTGCCTATTTCTCCATATAACTTTTTGGACTTAATCCTTGTTTCGATGTGATGGGTCACAAATATTAGTTCCACTAACCCTAAAGCACTAACTCAAATATTTAGGTTCCCTAATTCTAAAGCACTAATGCACTGAAAAATGTAGCAAAAGCTAATTCTAAAGCACTAATATAATCCAGTTGACACATGAAATATTCTTCAGTCAACATAAGACAATATTTACTGTGTGCAGAAAGTTGTCGCTTGATGCCCTTGCCGGGCCAAATGGGAGTCACCCGCAGGCCACATTTGGCCCGCGGGCCTTGAGTTTGGCACGTGACCTTGTAGATAAGTGACACACATATGAAATGTGTGACAGCTTTCACCGTCAGCTGTGAACAATAATGTTGATCAATAACATTTAAAGACCTCAGTCAGTGCTTCTAAATTTAGCAAGTGCTAATCCACTAATGAATTAAAAAAAATAGCAAAAGCCCTAAAGCACTAATCAAGAAATGAGTTCCCTTATTAGTGTTTTGGAGAACTGTGCCCACCACTGCTATAACATGATGTGATTCAAGCTTTTTAACTTGTTCCAGTTGTTTCGACACAAAGTCCGATGTTTCAACTTTAGAAACAAAAACTGAACTTGAAGCACATCCTGTGTTGTTCGAAGGCTCTGAGGGAACATCCAGTTACTTCCTTTTTACAAAACACTTGTTTCCTCGACTGTAAACACCGGGAGGAGCTGCGTTAACTAAAGCTGGCAAAAGGCCCGACTCCTGTGTTGTTACCACCATCACACACGTACTTGTGTGTTGTTTTTTTTTGTCACTTGACACAGAATGTAAACAGAACTAAGGTTCACCTGAAGTCTCCCTCCAGTTTCTCCTGCTCAAACAGGATCGACACGATCGGGCCCATCAGGATCTTATTGGCGATCGTTCCGACAACAAAGTATCCAAAGATGCTCACGGGACCGATCCAGCCGGTGCTGCAAAGCAAAGACACCTCATTTGTTTGGGGTTTACCTCCTTTAAAAAGACAAATAAAACATTAAACCTTTAGAAAACTAAACCCCACAAATTAATACTTAAAATTCTATCTCAACAAAAACAGAGGTGCTTTTTTTCAGTTTTCAGGCAAAGCACATTTATTTAATCAGGCAAATCCCTCTGAGATCTCTCTTGTAAGGGAGGCCTGGGAATCAAACCCAGGACCTTCTTGCTGTGAGGCATCAATGCTAACCACTGAGCCGTCGTGCTGCTATTTTATTTAAAAAATAGGACAAATTAATACTTTTGGTTTCACTTGGTTAAAGCYGTGTAATATTTTGATGGCACAGTTAGTCGTAGCCCAGCGTCGTGTCACTGACCTGTGAAAGCACTGGTAGGTGTAGTAGGAGATGGTGAAAGGCGAGATGATCAAACGGCTAGCCATGGTGCTCATCTGCTTACAGAACCTCTCCACATCCTGACTGATCCGCTGGTCGCTGCGAGACAAAGGTAACACACAAACTGCTCGGAGTGCGGGATGGGGATAAACCTCAGCTACTACCACACCAAGTGTTAGCTTCATATCTGTACAACTGTACGAGTTACGTCGGCCATCTTGAATCGACTCCACAGGTTAATCAGCTGTAAATGATTACTTKGAGTTTCATTAAAATGTGTCCAGCGGTTCATGATATTTTGCTAACAGGTAAAATGATTATGCACACACAGACATTTTGGTGTGGTAACTGAGACTAGACTGAATCCCACAGATTTCTGTAAAATTTTGCCATCAAAGTCACCTTTATTTGTCTGTTAGCAAATATCTCATGAACTACTGAATGCATTTTAACAAAACATTCAGGGTGAGAAAAAAAATCATTGAACGTTCAACTGAACTTAACATCTGGAGCCAACACAATTCAAGATGGCTGCCACAGCGGACACAAGCAAGTCAAATGTACGGATAACGCTCTAATGTTTGGTGCGTTTGTGGCCGAGAGCCAATCACAACACACAGCCAGCTATGATGCTAACTCTTTAAATACTGTTGTATGAAAACCTGATCAATAATTGGAAGTGGGAATAAGTCTGCAGCCTTTTTGCGTTTGTAGTTTGAGGCCTTGGGTTTTATCAGAACAATAACAACCCTRTAAGAATGATGAATCATCCTCCTCTTCTGAAGTTTTATGTACATAAACCTAACTTCCTGGTCACAGCCCCTGGGGGGCGGTAACTTTCACGTAGACAAGGAGGTTCTATAGAACAGCTGGAGTGCGCAGAAACCACGACCATGTGATCGGCTGGTGAAGCTAACGGCTAACACAAAACAGTCAAGAGTGTGGATTTCCCATTACTGTACATGTTGACAACAGAGCAGAAAAAAAGGGCTGATGATGTAGAAATCATGAAAAACTATTAGTAAAAATATTAAACCAATTATTATTATTAATATTTTACAGTTTATATAATGTATTTAATTTTTAAATAATGTCA